CCCCCCCCCCCCCCAACCCCAAAATTTTATTGCAGATTCGGGGTCCTCTCGCCGAGCGCAGAAAGACCCCACCTTCAGAAAAAAAAATAAAAAAATTCTCGGGTGTTTTTCGGCCCGCCCGGTTTGCCCGGGCGGCCCCCCCGGCGTCGCCCGGCCGGGCGCCGTCCTCACCCAGGTTATCATAACCGTAAATTCTAGTCTTGCAGCGTTGGCCTTGGCCTCGTTACCACTCTAGAAAAGAACCAAAAAAAAAAAAAACACACAAAAAAAAAAACACCACGGAGTTTCCGAGTTGATATACATCCCATAACTAACGATCTTTTTCGGAAGTTTTTCCGCATATCTGCCCATATTACTGAAAATGCCTCTATTGCAATGCAGTCCTTAGAGGAAGGGAAAAAAAAGGAGAAAAAAATAAAGGAATTTTTCTGGGAAGAAAGGAGAATGCATCAGGCACCAGGCAATGAGCATGCATTTTTCAAGCATCAGGCAAGTAAACCACCAGTCCAACAGCCCTGCACTGTGATTTTACTCGTATACGAGTACCGGGCAAAAATCTACAGTGTCGGCACTGCCGAGGCCCGGAAGAGGGGTTGGGAAAGGGCTACCGGGCAAAAACCTACAGAGCTGGCACTGCCGAGGCCCCCGGAAGAGGTCCAGTGGGAAAGGGCTATAACCTTCAGTACTGTAGATTCTAAAATGCATTTTTGGGCTTGTCAATTTAGCTCCGGATGGACTGGTGGTGATACTCACACTGGCACCTTCCAAAATATATCTGACCATAACTATGGCTGGACCTGGATGAATCTGACCGGGATTACGTCCAGAGCATGGTAGAAAAAGTCCTACATGCCCTCAGAGAGACCTCTCTATTAATTGTCATCCATGCTCCTCTTTTATTTTGATCGTATGTCCGTCTCTGCAACAGCCAGGTTATAATCTCTTCAAACTCTGAGCCAGCTAGAGAGACCTCTACCATTTCTCACACATGGTCCTCTTCTTCTGATTTACTGTCCTTTAATTTTCCCCTTAAAACTGCTTCTATCAGGTTTTGAACTCAGGTCCATGTATTCAACAGTTGATGGGGGGGTGTACCATTAAGCATCGTGTGTCCTATTCTGCACTGCCAGCCAGCTTCAATCTCTTATTAGAAAACTGAGTGAGCACTGCCCGGTCATCCTGAAGTTCCCCAATGATCCTCTTCGCTAGTGCTCGCTTGACGTTTCTGTGCCCCGCTCCATCTCTATCTGATATTTGTCGCGGCTCGAGCCTGCGATCTTCCGATCAATGATCAGAGTCGGCATTACTCTCTAGGGCCTTCCTCTCCTCCGGCTTCCGCATTGACGCCGAGGATGACTCGTCCATGCCCTGGACCCGAATGACATGTTCCCCCTGGTCATTCCCCTGGCCGTGAGAGCGCGTTTGCTGCACCGCTACGCTTTCTGTGTCTTTAACGAGTTCAGCCACCTCTACTACAACGAACGATTTGTCGCCGCCAAGTACAATCGTATCGGAGTCGAGACCGGCTGCCATGCTACAGAGTCTTTTCAATCCGCTTGTGTAGGTAGTCATTAAGGTGTAGTCCAATTCCGACCAAACCTTAACGATTCCCTCTTCCGATGCACTGAAGATGAATGGCAGACGTGGATGGTAGAACGCAGCCCGGAGGACGACCCTGAGGGGTTGCGACGTCGTGTGTTCCATCTTCACAACGCACACTCCTTTGCAATAGTCCCAGATCTGTATCAGGCCTCCAACAAACCCGAGGATCAAAAATGGCATCGGTTGTTTGTGGCAGAACTGCATGGTTTTGCAAATCGCGCCGCACACCTCGAGGGGTTCTTGCGCCGTGGACATTGTTCGGCTATCCCATACATTTACCATTGCGTCGCCCGATATCGTTGCGAAGATATTCGCGTCATGTGGATGAAATGTGACCAACACCACGGGCTTAGAATGCCCTGTGAGTGCAGTTCTTTTCCATCCCCCCAATTCCGAGTCCCACAGTTCCACGTACTTGGTACGAAAACCGGTCAGCAGGTACGGCGAGTTGCGATGGGTCGCCATGTCCGCGACATAAGTCCCTCGCGACTGGATCGTTCGCAGCAACATCAACCCTCGTTGAGAAGTGAAAGAATGAATTTCATACACATAGATCAGTTCATGATCATCATGCATAACAACCCATTCTTTCTGATGCGTCATGAACTTTGCTACCTTGATCGCGTGTCCAAAGACCCGCCAAGAGCCCACTTGATTCCCGTCTTCATAGTTCCACACCTCCAGGGTATGAGGACCAGTTACCAAAATAATCCATGGCTTTGAGGGGTGAGTATCAAATTTGACCTCGTATGTGGGCCGATAAGCAATGTAACACCCATCTATCAATGGCCCTAGACAAGTAATGCTGTCCACATTCCTTTGGAGCTTAGGCCACAACTGGACCGCATTGAATTTCTCTGCACTTCTAGAACCAACCATGCTGACCTGTGCATCCATTATCTCTCGCTAGAAAGACTACTTCAATACTAGTGTTCACTTCTCCACGCTTATCGCTGCCCCTCGTCCCTCCTCCCCCCCCCCCCCCCCCCCCCCCCCCCCCCCCCCCCCCCCCCCCCCCCCCCCAAATTAATTACCCAACCCCACTTGTAATTAAAACTCAACCCCCCTAATTTATGCACAACCCCTCTAATTAAACAACCTGCTTCAGAGTACACATCCTGACCCCTCTTCCTCTTGGCTCCGAGCCGGATAGGGGGCCACCGTAATTAATACCCAAAACCTACCCTAGTGATTAAAACACAACCCCCCTAATTTATGCACAACCCCTCTAATTGAACAACCTGCTTCAGAGAGCACATCCTGACCCCTCTTCCTCTTGGCTCCGAGCTGGATAGGGGGACGCTTGTCCTCCGTCTGACAATAATGGCAATGAGTCCAAGAGGGCTTGTACGGTTGTAACAATATCCACTGCAAATTTCACTTCAGCAAAAAAAACTTGTGACGCAGGTTTGATTCACAGATCGAGCATCAAAAAGATGATTGCTTTCACGATTACGCTCTTCAACGCCTCACTTTCGATTCTCGGCAGGTCCAATGTTAGTACGAGCCGAAAGGACAGCCTACAACGGAGTTGCTCTCCAACAACCCCCCGGAATACACCAAACCTGCGCGCTATATAACATGTTTAATTGAATTAATATCTAGTCTGAGAGTCGTAATACGGGGTAGGTTCCACACAACCAAGCGCTTTAGCCGAGGCCAGTCGCTGCCAAAACAAAACCAGCAAGAAAGACAGAATCAGTCATCTTACCTGCAAATACTGGGCAACCCCATCTCCCCCCCAGCAAAACTCAAAACTAAGTTTTTTCTTTCATTTCACAAAATTGTCCTCCCAAAAGAAAACAATATTTTTTAGCAATTTTGCGTCCCACGACGTCGGACCATTCACGGTCCAGTGCTGCTGGACCGTCGCAGTACCTAGATGGAAACTGCCATCCAGATACGTCCAATGGTCCAGAAAAAAAAAAAAAAAACCATTTCAGCCTTTTTCAGGTGCATCGAATGGTTCAGCGTCTTGGGGGCGCTGGACCATCTGATGGTCATACGTCATGGGGACGCAAAAATGCTCAAAAATATATATATTTTTTTTTTTTTTTCTTCCAGAAGTCCAATTTCAGTAATGAAAGATAAATGTCAGTATTAAGTTTTAACTAAAATGGCTGTTCCCCCACCCCAGCTTTTCTTCAACTCTCATTAGCAAGAGTAAGAGTGCAAAGCCTCCTGACAAGATAACCAAGAAGAGATAGGAGACAAAAATGCCACCCTAGAAAAGGATTCGGTAGGTAATGACCCCCTTCCATACCCCTTGTCAAACAACTTATCCCATTTCACACGACATGATCGTTGTAAGCCCAGCCTGGGTCCTTTAACCACCAGCACATTCAAGCCTCTTTTGTACATCCTAGGCGGATTCCCCCTGCGCGCCAAGCTTTGCTGAAACGCTGCGAAGCGTTTTTGTTTCCATTTTGGCTGGCACTGCCAGCGATTTTGGTTCAGTTGCCCTGAGCCTCCGGATTTTTTCGAAGCCAGCCTCTCATTATTCTCAAGTTCCGTGGGGCCATGTACACATGGCTTCAGGGACCGCTTCATTCTCACGATCTGATTGACAAACAACATCTGTGCCTAAGCCCGCCTTCTTTTCCAAGAGGAGGGTAACCCCTTACCTTATTGGATTCATCTGACTTCAGACCTTGCCGCAAATGTGCACAATGAGAATGAATCTTCAGGTAGAACGTGGAGAGATACACGAGTCGTGTTCTGTCTTTTGTGCATTTGGTGAGTGGTGTGGCGATCACCTTCAGTGAGGATTTGAGCTCACAACCTGTTAGCACATGTGTGTCCTACTCTGCCACATCTCTTGATCAAGCATGTGTCCAAGCCCCCTGTATCCTCTCCCTCACATGAAAAAAGAACTGTAATGACCCGCCAAAACACAGACTGAGAATACCTTTCTCGGCCTTTTGGCTAAGATCAAGTGTGGTATCTGTTCTGATCAGTTTAATATCTGATCCGTGGTCCATCGGACCATTAAAAAAAAAAAAAAAAAAAAANAAAAAAAAAAAAAAAAAAAAAAAAAAACACAGACTGAGAACACTGCTGATTGCTGGGATTTGCTGCTGGAATGCATGCCTTGCTGAGAGATTCCCACAATCTGCTGTGATTTCTAAGTCTGTGTGTGTGCATGCCTGCTGGTCTGCGTGCCTGTCTGAGTGCTTGTCGGCTTGAGTGTGTGTGTGACCCGCAAGGGTACTTGTTGGTTTGGAGGCCCCGCAGGGCCGGTACTTACCCGTGGCCGTGACTTTGAGGGTTGCAGCGGGAAAAACACTCACGTAGCGGGGGTAGGCCCGCGGCACTTGGAGCAGCGGGAAAAACACTCAAGTAGCAGGTAGGCCGGTACCACTCAAGTGGTGGTGGAAGTGTCGGGTACTCGAGGCCGAGCAGAAGACGACAAAAAGTTGGCATTTTTAGAGGCCCAGTAGCGGTAGGCTAGAGGTAGGCCAGTACCAGTCCAAGTCGCCTGAGTCTAGGGCCTGTACGGATGATATCAGGGCCTGCAATGATGTTTCCCTCCGAAAGGGAGGAGGTACCAGTTGCTGGGAGGCCGCGCGGCCTAGGAAGTCACCGCCCAAGAGGCAAGTAGGCCGCTATATCTTCGGGAGGAGCAAGTAGCTCCTCCTCATTTGCGGTGTGGAAGGATTGGCGACATACTACTCGAGCCAAGTGTTGGACTTGGAGCGCTGCCTGGTGGAAGTAGAGCCGCTGGGCGCTCAGCCTGGCTATGGCGAGCAGCCCAGCCTGAGGAGGAGGAAGAAGGGGGCGAAGGAGGAGAGTGGTGAGGTACCTACCTGGCTATGGTGGACACCATCTTCATCACCTCGGTAGGCGCTGCATCTGGAAGGCCCCAGTTGGGGTAGTGCCGCACCAAGGGAGCTCGAGGCAGAGTCAGGCATGGCGACCTGATGAGCAGCGACATATCTGCTTTGTGTTGTCCTTTGCACAAGAGGGCAGAGCCCTAAGTAGTCCGCCATAGCCTTGGCATGTGAGAGAAGGAAGAAGGGGGAAGCCATGGCTGTGGTGGACCTACTGTTGTGCTACTAGTAAGAGGGAACTTCGGATATTGATTCTGGTTCATCCGCTCATTGTTATTACTATTATTATTTGGAAGAAGAATAAGATTGGCGAAGTCAAGGAGGAGGAGGAAGGTTTAAGGGGAGGAAATGCTGGTTCTTAGATTCATGCGAGGGAGAGGATGAAAGGTTCTGTTACGATCCTGGGCATTCCCAAAGTGCAAATTCACAATGAAAGACAATGCCACCCAACTGCGAAAGAAATGAACAGGACAAGGAGGAGGAGGAGGAAGAAGAAGAAGAGGTTAGACCAATCTCATATCCTCCCTCCTCTCACCATTATCATTTCCCCTTACATAATCTCCTCTCCTTCTTATGAACAATTCAATATAATCTTAAACAAACGAATGGATAAGCACAATATCCAAAAAATATCCGCAGCTGCCAGTGAAGGAAGTAACTCTCCTCTAGCATTTCCTCTCCCCCTCCGCTCATCTTGAAGGTGCTGCGGGATATGGGGCTACTCCTCTTTCCAACTCAGGCCGCCATAACGGACTCGCGGATGAAGCCCATGCGGACTTGGTACCCCACCAGGGGCTTTACGGGTGCAGCGCCAACCAAGAGGATGAAGATGAATAGCCAAAGGTCAGTCTCCTCGGCAGCTCCCACCTCCGTCCTCCTTCACAACTACAACTCTCTCCACTACCTCAGGCCCAAGGCGGGCATCTACTACCTCCCTCCATAGCGCGGCAACTCCTCTTGTTCTTCCTCACTTCCCCATGGGCATGGGGGTCTTCTTCACCGTGCTCTTGATCCTCCTCTTCTTTTTTTCTTTTCTTTCTTTTACTCAAACACACATGCCTCCTCTCTTGCCCCCCGCCCGCCCCGCCCCCCAAGTCCAGTTGCTTGTCACCGGCACGCAAGGTTGGAGATAACAATTATGTTGAACAGGCTCAGAGACATCTAGAGGGAGGAGGTCTTTACCTGCCACAGGGCCAAAGGGTACACAGATGTAACAGTCTATAGGAAGATCATGAGTTCAAGTCTGAGGGAATCAGATGGACAGAATAATGTTAAGGGCCCCGAAGATGTGTAGATAAAAGAGATATTTAACTACCACGTGGCCGCCTGCGGTACCACTCGGTGCCAACCAAGTCCTCCCAGGTCTTCAGCCAACATGGGTGTGAGTGCGAGTGTGAGTGGGTTGCACGTGGTGTATGTTGGCCTTAGACACTGCTGTTACTCGATGGGGGTGGGGTTGCTGGCAAATGCTCGGTCCTTGTGTTAGCCGGGTCCCCATCGGCGGCCCCAACCTTCCATCCTAAACCACTAGGGCAAGGGGCAAACATGCAATTACCTCCCTTCACTGAGAGAGGTAATCTCCGTTCACCAAGAGAGGTAGATAGCTATGCTTCCAGGGGCCCCCTGTATATCGTTAGGAGTAGTGGTAGGTAGGTCGTGAAAGATGAAAGAATTTGAGAGAAGAACATAGTGTAGTTTTTGTATTTAAAAAAAAAAAAAAAACAGCACACAAATGTAACAGTCCATTGGCAGATCATGAGTTCAACTCCTGACTGAATCAGATGGACAGAATAATGTTAAGGGGCCCGAAGATATGTAGATAAGAGAGACATTTCAAACACCAGTACTTGGCCCATACATCGGCCGCGGGGCTTCCCTGTTAAACCACCGCTAGCCCTGCCAGCCTACAGTAGGATTCTCGGAGAGTTAGGGCTGCAGAAAACGGTAGGGCGGCGACCGGCAGGCACAGGTGCGGCCAGTCCTGCAATTTTCAAGTGCCAACTTCGGCGATTTTTCACACTCAGAAGAATTGACGAAAACATCTGAAATTTGGAGATCCTGTAGATTAGGTTGTGATCTATCCAGGAAAAATATCAGGAAAAAAAAAAAAAAAAACGTTTAGACCGCCAAATAAGTGTCGCGCCGATTCGTTGCATTTTCCATTTTTTTGCCACTCGACCACTTGTGGGCCGATGGAAAAAGTACCCCAACTTCTGCGATTTCTTGCGCTCAGAAGAATGACGCACAAGCGTTCAACCGCGAAATAAATCGTGGCGGCAGCAGCAACTCGGTGCATTTTCCATTTTTGCCACTCGGCCGGTTCTCCCCAATGTGCTACTGGTAGTCCTCATGAACGCGCTACGCCTTTAGGGCTTCGGCGTACCGGACCAAAACGGCTGGAGGCGCAAACATCATGCTGGCAGTTCGTCAAAACTTGGTGCGCAGGGTGCTCCGAGGCTCGGCATCTATAGCTGCGACAAGTACTGGTGGTATAACTACCAAGTGGCCAAAACAGTACATAGTTCAAATCCTGACGGAGTCAGATGGATAGAATAATGCTAAGCGCTACCCGGACCTACCCCCTTAACAAAAGAAAGGAAGAGAGATGTTTCCCACGCCATCTCCTCTCCACTTTCACTCTCCTCTCCCCTTCACTCTTTTCTTTTTCTTTTTGGCAGATCATGAGTTTGAGCCCTGACATAATCAGATGGATAGAAAAATGTTACGCGCTACCCGGGCCTACGCACTTATCCAAAAACATGGAAGAGAGACGTTTCCCACACCATCTCCTCTCCACGTTCACTCTCCTCTCCCCTTCCATCTTTTTTTCCCCCCTTTTTTGGGGGGGAAAATTGCATCTGTACCCCACTTAAAGATGGAATACCCGCTATACCCAGTCCCAGCGCCCAAATTGCATCTATACCCGGACCCCGTTCAACTTTGCATAGTACCCAACTTTTCCCCTGTGCGAAATTGTGGACATACCCAATCCTGCAGGCCCTCAGTTCCGGGCAACAAAATTATGCCCATCCCCAGAAATGGGCTGGCAAAATTGCAGGTGTACCCACGGCCAGTGGTGGGCCCTGGGATGGCAGACCACAAAATCATGCTCATGCGCATTACGTGGACCGTTGTGGCCCAACGGCCGTTGGGTATGAGCATAATTTCAGCCATCAGGTAGCAGGGTGTATGAATAATTTGGCCAGTCCACCGCAGTCCTGGGCATGCCCATAATTTTGCCTGGGAGCGTCCATAATTTATGCATTCTAGTAGTTGGTTATAACTGTAATTTTGCGGTACCAACCTGGGTCCACCTCAGTCCTGGGCATGCAAATAATTTTCACCGGCAGTTTTCTGGGTATAGGTGCAAGTTGGCGCTGGGACTGGGTAAAGCAGGTATTCCCATCTTTAAGTGGGGTACAGATACAATTTTACTTTTTTTTTCCCCTTTTCGAGTCCTTCTTCCGCCAGTGTTTGGGAAAAATATTGTTGGTTGGGTGAAAAGCACAACATGGACACAATTATGTCACAATATTAATTCTTATATTAATTTTTCTGTGTGATGGCGGGGTCATACGGGTAAGCTTGATTACTCTACCCTTCTAGTGCCACGTCCGTATTGCAGAGCTGCAAAGTGCTCCCCAGCCCTTATTTAAAAAAAAAAAAAAAAAACAGGTGGCCTCCCGTGTTTTACTTTGGTCAGCAGGAATTTGTCTACAGCCTAGGGCTGGGGCTGCATATCGCCAAGTTGTTGTTTTTTTTTCGCTCTTTTTTTCCTTTTTTCCTTCTTTGTTTTTTATCCCTTCTCTGATAACCAAGTTATGTCTCGATCGGGTACGAAGGAGGGGAATGTAGTGAGTGTTTCTCCTCTCTGTTCTTTCCACCTCATCACTCTCCTCCACTTCTCTTCGTCTTTCCACCAAGAACAGAAGAGATTGAAAAAAATAGCAATAACCAACAATTTTGGAGAAAATGAAAAAGAAAGGGAACAGAAGATCTTCGATCAGGACCAGTAATGGTGTTCGACGATGGGGTTGATGACTTCCCCTGCGGAAGTGACTTCACACACCTGTGCTATACTGTGTTGTGCTGCGAAAGTGACTTCACACACGTGTGCTATACTGTGCTGTACTGTGCTATACTGTGCTACACTGCGAACGTGACTTCACACACGTGCTATACTGTGCTGTACTGTGCTATACTGTGCTGTACTATACTGTGCTATACAGCGGGCCCTCTTTGGGGCTGTACTATACTGTGCTATACTGGACCTCTTTGGCGCTGTGCTATACTGTGCTGTAGTGCACCTCTTTGGCTGCTACCATCTTCCCTCAACTACAACACACGGTCATTATAGATGTATTGGGGTCAACTTTCAGCCTAGATACAGCAATAATGACAAGGGGAAGACAATTGGAGAGCAGCACTCCCAATCTGCCCATCGTGCCCTCCTCCAAACCTTTGGATGGATGGTTAAATTCACATGACCACTGCTCATTATTAGGGTTTCCGGTTTCGGGTTTAGGGTTTAAGAACATGCTTGTGTAAGAAGCCATGGTTGTTCAAGCATTTGAAAGATGTTTAAACTTTAAAAAAATTAAAAGATGTTTAAACTTTATTATTTTTTTTTAAATCATGGCTGGATTAAGTATGCGCTTGTAGACTTGTAGTTAAATTGAAACTAAAAGATGACAGATGAAGATGAAAGACGAGCAATGGCCAATTGCTCTGCACACTTCTCAATTTATGCGTGTCATCCTTGCACGCAGGCGTCAAAAATGTGGAAGGAACATGGACGAAGCACAGAAATCCAGAATGCAAAATCACACTGAAGTCCAAGTATTCAAAGCCAAAGCAGATAGCACATGGAACCGAGTAACCATCCCATTGAGAATGATACAGAAGAATCGTGAGTCAATGTCCATGCCCAACAGGGCAACACCAACAGCATAACCCAAATGTAGCTCTCTCTTGTGAATGGCGCCAGGCGCCCTATCTACCCTACAGCCTATCCTACAACTACAGCAATGAGCAGCAACCAGACAACTTGACTACCAGCGAGTAATGATGTCAACACCAATGCCGTATTCACCATCACCAGGTACGTGTCATCTTCCTTACACTCTCCCTTGTTACCCACACAGCGCCCTTCACCTCCGAAGTACCACCTTTGCCCTCACCTACCCTGCACCCTCTTGCGGCCCGGCTATGGCCGCCAGTGCCCTGCATGCAAACAGCGCCCTACCGCCTAGCGCTGGCCTGCTCTGTCTTAGCGCTGCGCTGCTCTGCATAGCGCTGCACACTTGCATCTGTCTCTTATACACATCTAGATGTGTATAAGAGACAGGCATCTGTAAGGACCCCACTTCGTGAAATGTATGCATAGAGGGCTATTGTTGATTTGCTGGCCCGCCTTCACTTAGGGCGGGCACTAGGCTTGCTGGGGCCTTAGCCCAGAACATGTACATCATGGCAAGGCCCCTACTTGAGGGCTCAATCCTCACATTCCATCCCCCTTAGCTTCGAAAGTCCGCTGAGATGCTTACTTCGCAGGCGCCTTCCCTTTCAGTTTCTTCTCATAGTCTGCCACCACCTGAGGAGCTGTGTCAATCAGTTCCTCCCTGGTAAACCAACGATCTTCTTTTGGATCCGTGTGATGCCTGAATCTGACGYGGTACTCTCTTTTGGGCTTGRGAGGTCTTCSTCGGCCCAGCGGCTTTGGAACAGGCATGTCCCTGTGATCCACAATGTCATCGATGTCAACTTGACCATCCATGGTTGGGGGCAGCATCGATCTCCTAGAAGGGAATTGATCTGTCTCAGCGAAAGGTGCAAGCTTTGAGGCATGAAAAACTGGGTGAGTGCGTAGATGACCAGGGACACGAATGACGTACGTAGGACCATCCATTGCATCTCCCACTACATCCAAGACTTCCCAGGGACCAAAGTATTGAGGCATTAGTTTACGAGATATTTCGAACTCCTGTCCTAACTCACTAGCCTTGACCTAGACACGTTCCCCCACCTGAAATGTGGACTGTCTGCGATGTTGGTTCTCGGAAGCAATCATGGCTTGCTGAGCTTTCTTCATATGTTCAACAGCCTCGCGCAGCAACTTCTCATATTGCACACCGTATTCAAGTGTGCCTGGAGTTGCAGCAGGTCGGTTTTCAGGTAGGAGAAAGTCTAGTGCTGATCTAGGCTTCCATCCCAAGTGCAACTGGTTAGGACTAACGCCGGTACTACTATGAATAGCATTGTTGTACAAGCTGGCGATGAGAGGCAACTGCTCATCCCAATTATCTTGGCTGGGCTTGATGTAATGCCACAGCAAGTGCTGTACCACTCTGTTCATTTGTTCGGCTTGTCCGTTGGCTTCGGGATGATTCCCTGAAATCATTTGAAGTTGACTGCCCATCTGTTCTGCAGCCTTCTTCCACAGTTCACTTGTGAAGATGACGTCTCGGTCACTAATGATGGTCTTCGGTAAACCAAAGTCCCTTACCCAGTTGTCCTTGAACAACTCGATGTCATACTCCATCCTGGTTGTCTCTGGCATTGGTATTAGTCTAGCGTACTTGGTGAATCTATCAATGATGACGAAAATGTGCCTCTTACCACTCTTGTTGATCACAAGGGTGTCCATGAAATCCATGGAAACACTCAATCAGGAATGGGTAAAGGCTTCAATAACCCAAGCGGTGCTTGAGTTCGCGGCTTGTCCCGCTGACAGACCTGACAGGTCTCAACATACTTCTTTGCGTCATCTAGCATTCTGGGCCACCAAAATCGTTGTACTTAGTTAGCACTCGTCTTCTTGTAGCCAAAGTGCCCAGTTGCGCCATGACATTCGCCTAAAAATAAACCACGCAACTGTTCACTAGATGGAACTACCAATCTCTTTACTCCGGCCTTACCAAGATAGATTAGCCCATCCACCATTACAAACTCACTTTCTGTGGCCTTGTCTTTTGCCTGAAGTTTGCGGATGATGTCCATCGTGACAGGGTCTTCCTGATAGGCTCCCACCAATGATTGAGTTACTTCGTTAGATACGCCAAATTCGGAAACTAGCGCACCACTGCTCTATGGGATAGCGCGTCTGCAACCTTGTTGTACTCTCCTTTCAGGTACTCAAGCTTGAAGTCATATTGGTCTATGACCTCAATCCATCGCTTGAGTGCATCAGAAAGAGCCGGTTGAGTCTTGATCCATTTCAGGGTCTGATGATCAGTCCTCAGATAGAAGAATCTTCCCAAAAGGAAGTGTCTCCAATGGACAAGTGCCTTGTAGACAGCGTAGAGTTCCCTTTCGTAGGTGGACTTAGCCAATTTCTTCGATGGCATCTTCTTACTCATATACTCAATCGGTCTCAACTTTTTCCCATCCTGCTGAGCCAGCACTGCGCCAATGCCGTATTGGCTTGCGTCAATGGTCAMTATGAATGGCTTCTGCGGATCGGGAACCATGAGAACTTCGTGATTCATGAGTKCATGCTTCAATYTCTTGAAAGCACCCTCGCACTCATCACTCCAGTCCCACGGTGTGTCAAGTCGAGTTAGATCTGTCAAAGGAGAGGCGACTGTAGAATAGTTCTTTACGAAGTTCCTATAGTAGCCGCACATTCCTAAGAAAGACCTGACCTTAGTAACTGTCTGAGGTTGTGGCCAGTCTCGAATACTAGCCACTTTCGCATCTTCCGGCCTAATTCCCTTCGAGGATACTTCATGACCCAAGTATAAAATCTTAGTGCGACCGAATTCACACTTCTCTAGGTTGATCTTATACGTGTGTTGTCGTAGGAGTGAGAGAACTGTCTCAACATGTTGTGCGTGCTCCTCGGCAGACTTACTAAAGATCAGAATGTCGTCTAGATAGACTACGACAAGCTTATCTAAATGGTCATGGAAGATCCGATTCATAGCGTGCTGGAATGTACCCGGCGCATTGCAAAGACCGAAAGGCATCACTACAAACTCATACAGACCATATCTAGTCTGAAAAGTTGTCTTGTGTTGGTCCTCAGGTCTTATTGCGATCTGATGATAACCGGATTTCAAGTCTATCTTCGTATAGTACTTGCATCCCTGCACTTTATCCAATAGGTCGTCTATGCGGGGTAGAGGCTCTGCGTTTTTCACCGTGATGGCATTGAGGCCCCTATAATCACTGCACATCCTCAAAGTACCCCCCTTCTTTGGTACGAATAGCACAGGTGATCCGTAAGGGGAAGTACTAGGCCGAATCCATCCCTTCTCTGTCAGCTCCTTGAGTTGCTTCCAAAGTTCATCTAACTCGGCAGGGGCCATCCTATAGATCCTTCCCTTTCGGATCTTACTCCCTGGAATGATTTCTATAGCGTGGACGACTTTCCTATCAACAACTCCTGTGGGCTCCTCGAACAGATCAGGGAACTTAGCAACGACGCGTTCTATCTCCGGGGGTGTTTTAATGGTCTCCCCCTTCTCAGAGACATAAACAAGGTACATACCTTCCTCTTGGTTTTGCTTATAGTTATTGTAGAACGCAGATGCGCGCAAGCAGCCATAGGTATCTATAATACTACTGGCCTTGAACTTAGTCATTCTGACAGTTCGACCATCGGGCAACTTCTGTTTGAGCACCTTCTTATCCCAGTCAAACTGGGGCTTAGCAATATCGACGTAGTACATGCCTAGCCACATGTCAAATGGCAAGTCGTTACTAACCAAGAACGAGATCTTATGATTAAGCTCACCTCCTCCATAGGAGAAGGTACAGACTACGTCCTTGAGGTAGTCTGTGACAATCATGCGCTCTTTGTTGGCCAAAGTAGATGCCACTGGTCTACTAAGGTGCCGTACCCGGTCCTGTAGGTGCAGCCTTTCCAAACAGTCGCGACTTATGTAATTTCGCGTGGAGCCTGTGTCTATGAAGGCACCACATTTGCGGCCTCCTACATCCACTTCCACAACGAAATGTTCCCCTCTAGGACCCTTCTTTAGCGCCGCCCAAGACTCACGAGGGTCCTTGTTTGACCACTCGCCTTCTAAGTCTTCTAAGGCCTCAGACACATCTAACGTACAGAACATTGTTTGGTCTAGATGCGTCTGCGGGGTAGCTAAGGAGTCATTAGCTTCGGCCTTGTCATGAAGTGAGGAGGGTATCATTCCCACTTCATCTTGAGTAGAAGCCGCTATCACTTCCACTGGCCCTACGCGTTTCCCGAGCTAGAAGCCTGGGAAATAGTTGCCCCAACCTTTGGTGCAACCTTTTGCGTAACCTTAGCGTTCGGGCACTTCCACTGCGTGTGTCCGTATTCACCGCAGTTGATACAAGCGCCACGCGATCGGCGGTCACGCCACACGTCCTGGTCAAGACCTGCCTTGACCCACTCAGTCTGTTTGGACTGATTGGAGGCGGCCTTCCCTTGACTTCTAGGTTGGCCCTTCCCTCAGCCACCTGCCTTAGTCTTTACTACCGCGGCGAGGGTGCTACCCTCAGCTACCTCCTCGCCGTCACACTCTGAATAGTCCACCAGGTCAGAGAGCTCGTCGATTTCAGTTTGGGTCCCATCTGACTCAACCATCATCAACTTCGCCCCCTTCTTCTTCCACTCTTGGGGACTCTTCTTCTTCTTTGAGTCGTTCCCTGAGGTGGGTTGAGCATTGCCTAGTGTTGCCTCTAAGTCTAAGGCCTTTCTAGACAATGTCTCAAACGAGTGGTACTCGGTGCGTGCCTCACTGGCCAGTAAGTTCCTGATGTTCTCTAGAAGACATCTAACAAAAGTTGTTAACAGGAACTGGTCACTGTAGTTGATGCCCGAGACGAGGATCAGGCCCTCCACGGTAGTCGTAAGCTCTCTAACTGACCTGAACTTGCGTTGGTCAAGTTTGTTAATGGCATCAGTGGCCCTTTGAGCCTCCTGTGGGTTATGCCATCGAGCTTCTACCATCTCCATGAATTGGTCTAAGGTCAAAGACTTAGCCCAATCCACCATGCGTCGCCCGTACCCGACCCTCACAACTACACCATCTAGCCACTTGGCTGCTTTACCCTCTAGGTAAGATGCCGCAGTTACCACCTCATCCTCTGGCAAGGTCCTTTTGGCCTTC